GGTAGATGTAGAACTTGTGATTCCATCTACTTGCCTTGGGCCTCCACTCGCAGCAACCTCCTCGTGGTGAGGCCTGGGCAATCGGTATTGTCATCGGTAAAATACTGTAAACTGAAGACAATATCGAGCCAATGGCTGCGAACTTCGAATATATCTCATGAAACTACGTTCTATATTACATCGTACTAGGATTATTTTAGAAATCGATATGAGATTCAAAGTGTAAAAATGTCTAGTACTTTGAATGTTTTAGAAAATTATTCGAGTTAAAAATGCATGGAACTACTGAAAATTACTTTACATTCCCTTTCCTTATTATGTAAATTCTTTGATTGGAATTGGAATGTTGCTGGAAGTATGAACATTTTCACAGGACAATGATATAAATGAAACTTTAACACTTTTTTAAGTGTTACAGTGATATTTCGTTGGCCTCCGTATTAGCGCACTGCGCCGAACGCGGATAGCATGATGTAGTCGCAAGGGAGCAATCGAATCGAATAGACGTATTGTACCGTAGCGCATCGTATTGTATTTCAAATTTTTATATCATTACAATTTATACGTATATATGTATATTCCAATAGAGTTACGTCAGGTAATATAAGCTTCATTTCATCGAATTGTTTTAAATATACTTGCATAAATATTGTACAATCCTGTACTAATTATAGTTGTCTGGTTCAACAGATTACTACAGAAACTAACTACTGCCTACGTCTTTTAAGCTTGGGCAGTAGTAGTATCTGCAGAAATTGCCATGGTTGCTGGGGTTATTATCTAATTTCTTCACGGGAACACGCACAAGCGTCAGTCCCAATTCGACAGTTGTACGAGCAACATTCGACCGAGCTCGCGAGTTGTACGAACAACAGCGATAAAGGATCACGTTTCAAATGGTTACTGACGCAAGCCATTTCAGTACCGTTCATTGTCCCGTAATCCACATGTAATAACAACAGATCGAATCCGGCAAAGGACTACTGCAAATTATTACACACGTCTATCGTATACCACCGGTAATCAAAATTTCGGCGACAAACTTATGAAACCTTTATGAAGTTTTGAAGACTGTACGGAAAACTTGCAAGTGACAGAGATGGGAATTATTTGCGGCATATAAGTTACAATATTTTATAAGCCTGAATAATATCTAAGCCTTATTAGATAGTTAAGATTTAAACCCCCTCCGGGGGTTCTATCATCCCACTTCTTCACACACACGGGGTCCCTGGCGCCTCCACCGGGGGTTCTATGACCCCACGATTTCAACACGCGGGGGTCGTGGCGCCACCTGCGGGGGTTCTGTGACCTCACGTTCTCACTACACAGGTCTCTGGCCACTCCACCGGGGGCTCTATGACCCCACGTTCTCACCCAACATGGTCTCTGGCGTCTCCACCGGGGGTTCTATAACCCCATCGCTACTTCTGTCTTTCGGTCTCGCTTCATCTCCACGATAAGACCGCGCAGCCTATTATATATATATGCTATAGGTGGTACGGGGGGTGAGATCGTCCTTATCTTCTGTTTCGTCACCAATGTAAGGTTAAGGAAAGAAGAGGAAACTGAATAGGAAAAATGTCGTTTACATGAAATTCACAATTCACGAAATTTTAAATTGTCCACTTGATTGCGGATTTTATATATTTATATTGTCCATATAGAAAATACACTGAATTACTAAATGTTTACAGCATCTAATATATTTCCGTATAAAATGTACAATTCCGAAAATATATGAATCCACGTGACGGATTCGCAGAGTACTGTTCCACTGAATTCATTTAATGCTCCCATTAAACGCGACGATGCGAAATATAAAAGATACGTTTACTTATGTTCTAAAAGGCATCAATCTCTCTCTCTTTCTTTCTTCGTCTCTCTTGGTAATCGTTACCGACCTAATTCGTACGAACAGACGAGGAAAAGAAAAAATCAATTATTGTCGTTTAAAAACGAGACACAACAAACACGACCGACGTAGGATATTCCACGCTATAATCTCGCGATAACAGTGTTCTTTATTTCTGTCACGATTAGCGTCGCGCGTGTACCAGACGCGTTCTTCCGCGCAACGTACACGTTCCTTCGAGACATCTGCGTGTGATCTGCACGAAGCATTCCTCGACGAAACGTGCCACAAATGCAACGATAGTCATGTTTATTATTCAACGAACAATCTCTGGCGATGTGTCTCCTTCCCTCGTCGCGGCGTAAAACGTTTAAAAAATACACGGCGGTCAGTCTTTCGATTGAATTCATTTATACTGTTTTTGTTTGCACTAAACTGAACACAACCCGTATCTCGATCGTACGAAAAAATCTCTTGGTTTCGCTGAATATCGTAATTCCGACATTCCTGGTCCTTATAAGTGTTTCTCCAGTTTCAGCTTCAGCAATGCAAACGCTCCAATGTCCAGCACGCAGTACAGACATGTCAGAACGATCAAGCAGAACCAATAATCGGCTTGTTTCATGTCCACGGCGCTTAATAGTTTCTCTGGCACAGCGAAATGGCAATAGACGTCCGAGCAGGAGAGCTTTGGCCTGTCCAGGCTAAAATTATAGTAGAAAGTTTCCTTAATCGGTTGCTTAAGGTCACTTCATTGCACGAGCCTTTCACGTGCATCGAATTCCACGCGTGTGTGTCTATATCTCAACAAACGCTATCACTAGACTGCGGATTTTTATGCAAAATAAAATTTTATAAAGTAATTCTTGAAGACAAGAACAAAGGTAGGAATTTTTATCTTCGCTTAAATATGTTATTGAGTTAAGAATGAAATAGGAAAGTCGTTGCATTCGATGAAAGTTTTGTCTTTTATTGTATTTCACAGAGCTCTAGAGTCTACGAATGCATAAAATCCGCAGTCTAGCTATCACATTACGAATGGGAAACGAAAATACTGGGTTTCGTTTAACAAAAATTATGACTTTAATATCTCTACCAGTACTGCATTCGCAGAAAAATTATTTCTACCGCGTAAGGTCCCCCTTTATACCGAATAACTTTTGTACAAATATTTTTTTTTTATAATGTTAAACCGAATGTTAATTTAGCATAAAATTTTAGTAACTCCGAGACCAAATGGTAGGAGGTCTTACCCTTACATCACTTTTCAAGGGTACATTCATGGAATACGGCAGAGATACAGTAAATCATCGATGAGTGTTCGAAGGCTCCACTGAGCCTTAAATATTTCATAAACTGATGGCCGTATGCGGCTGAAACAAATATCATTGGCTTCCGAATTTCAAGCTCTATCGATGTGCTAAACTTCGTTAAAAAATCAGCGTTAGACCGGGGATCTCTGTTTGCCATTGCAGAAGAGTCTTCGAACACCCATCGAGGATTTACTGTATCTACACGTGCGTAAAAAGGCCCTGCGAAGAGCAGTGAATCAGTCGATAAATTCCATCCGTACACTGCGGATTCTTACCCATAAATGGCAACCATGACACCCTCGAAGCCGTACTTAAGAAACGACAAATGAAACATCCAACGTAGATACGGATGAGCATCCCTGAATTGTACAAAGAATCCACTGAACATTAAAAACGGAAGAATGGTGACAAGTGGTCCGAAAATCATACCATGCTGAAAAACAGAAGGAAAACGATCTGAATATTTTCGATCCCTGACAAACATCGCTAATATGTATACAGAAATAATTAGCGTGTAAACACTTGCTCGTGGTAATTGAAAATAATTCAGAATCGCGAAACATTTCGTCTATATTATCGTACGTTTATAAATTCAGTTTCGATCTATAATACAAACCTGTAAGTTCATTCCGGTTCCAACTAAAAGCCCAAACGTTTGGGAGATCATGCTAATAGCGAAGCACATTAAAACGTAGAGACAGAAACGTCGTAGCTCCATAAGTTGATCGCTCAGGTAATACACTATAAGAATGTAGAGGAAGATAGCCATGAACTGAATGGGAAGATCGGCCAATTTGTTGGCGAGATAAAGAGAGGGTAACTTGTACCATCGATTGAAGTATTCGCGCGTGATTATCGGTAACTCCAACGGAACTGCAAGTGGGTAGTGTAGATTAAGCGCCAAGTGAACGATACAAAATATAACCAAGTAAAAAAGTAAAACATGATAAGTAACATCGATATTTCCTGTAACAGTGCGCATTAAAATAATGGTTCTTACATGTCGTCACGGCCGCACTGAACGAGCTGAACATGAGAAACATTATGTTGAAGAACAACAGATTGAAGTTGTCCAGAACGTAGACAGCGTCCTGGCCGATTCGAAAGTATATCATCCCGACCAATACAGCAATTATAAAATGCATTGAGAGCCGTGTGAACGTTAATATCTGAAAATGAATGGAAATACATGTGTATAAAAAAATTTTTTTTAAAAAACAATTATATATCGCACCTGTAGAATCTTATAAGTAGACTGGGGATTTTATGCAATTACAGCACACGCGATTTTCTAGAATTTCCTATGTATAGGAGTTTTGATAAATTCTAAAGAAGTTTTTATTTTCTTTGAACCCTGGTAGAATTGTGTATTAAATAAACAGATCTTGGTTTGGCCACAGTTCTTGTCAATTAACGCCTAAAAATCCATATTTGCATACATATTCGTAGTCTGCTTATAGGGGAATCGTTGAAGAGAATAACGGAACGATTACCAAATATAGTTTACCTTGTCCCTAGACAGTCTAATGACGTTTCGTTTGAGCAATATGATCAACTGTTTCCAGACATTCGCGGCGTAATCGTAGGAAACCTTGCGTTCACCGCGAACAGGATCCATTTCCATCGGGTAACGCTGCCGAAGCGCTTGAAACGATGCTGTTACATTCAAAGCGATAACTTCCTCCTGACAATTGACGGTTACATTGCTCGTTGACCTCCAGGCGTTACTTTTTCCATTCTCGATCGCGTCTACCAATTTCGGCACGTGTTTGCCGTAATCCCCATTACAGATTTCCATCACTGTTAAAGGAAAAAAAGGAAAAGAAGTGCATCCACCTGACGCTCGCCCTCCCCCTTTATGTCAATTATATTATTCTCTCTTCATATATTACTCTCGTGTGTAAATTTTAATTTTATGATCTATATGTAACTTTTTTGTGTGCAATTGATAATAAATATGTGGATTTAAATTATTTAATTCAATTTATTAATTTCACTTTTTTTTTCAAATTTATTTTACTAGATTATATACCAAACTGCGAAGCTAACTTAAAAATTACGAAGAACTTATCATGAAAGCATGATAAAAGTACAAAATCATGAGGATACTTAAATAGCAAATGCATGAAAATGTAATTTGGAAAGTAACATATATGAACCGAATATGTGAGTCACTGTATATCGGGAAAAAAATATCGATATTACCAGTGTCGATACTTGCAATCAAAAATGAAAATAAATCATTTCTTTAAGAAGATATTCTCAAGTATGGTATCGTCAATCACTAAATCGAACGTTATAAGACCACAGGGAGAGTGAATAAGTGAGTTCCATTTATTTACGGTAGTCGGCTGGGTTGTAGTGCGTCGGACACTGCAGTCCAAGGCTGCTCAGATAGGGTACTAAATTCTGCGTGCTACCGCTGTAGACACAGTATCCGTCCGCAACGACGTAAAGGTGATCTATCATGCTCAAAAGCGACGCGCTCGGCTGATGTATCGAGCAAATTACCGTCTGTCCCGCCTTCGCCAATTGCTTCAGCAACGTTATGCAATACTTCGAAGTGACGCTGTCCAACCCACTGGATAACAAAAAAAAAAAGAACATAAAATTGTATGCTTGTTAATACCCATGGGGAAGGATGGTAAAAACTGGTTGACCAGAAGATGTTTAGTATAATACAGTAAAACTTGGATTGGTACCTCAAACGATCTACGATGTAAGCGCCCAGTCTTCATTCCCACCACTGACGGGGTTCCCCTTGGAACCAGTCAAGCATACAAAATCTAGCAGACAAGCGACTTTCAAAATGGGAGCCCAAAAACATTAAATGCCCGCGTATCAGTGAGACAACACTAATGCAACAATGACGATGTTTTATTTTTTTCTTTTTTTTTCAATGAAACTTTTACTAACGTATTTAGGAGATTTTTCGGGTACTAATCGAGGTTTTACTGTATTCGGTGTGTCGATAAGTAATCAGTAATTGCCATTTAACAAACCGACGACAATTCTAAATTCGGAAAAACATCTTTCGGGTTTTTTTCTTCCCTTAACTCTCCGGTGACGATGACTGGGTTATTTTGACCCCGAGTTTTCACGAACTTCATCCAACTGAACAGCTTCCGACAATTTATTTGAATTCGCAGTTGTTTGTATTAATTCGAGAATGAAAAGAAAGCCAATTCACAAAGGAATTTCTTTCATAAATACATTTAGAAGGAATGAATGCATGAGGGTCCAAATGAACCCCCACGATTCGCTATTTACAGTACAACGTACAATAAATCTTCGATTATTCACGCGAAGGTCACATTATATGTCATTGAATTGGTTTTGATCTAAACTATTACGCCTCGCTTATAAAAAAAAACATAGTACTACTTAAAAAAAACATCGATGACGTTGACAAATTTGAGAAAAATGTTTGCTTATTATAATATTTGCCCCTTCTAACCGGATAATATTTTCCCTTCGCATTTTTTTGCATCTTCAACAAACAAGTAAGATATTGAAGGTGCTCACGTTAGGTGGGACACCCTGTATAGTTGATCCCTCATTGGTTACGTCCAATAACAAAACAATGATACACGAGTGTAACAAGCGACTTACTAAATAATTACATTACTGTCGCAAGTATGTAATATATTTCCATTCAAGTTAATGGATTTTATTTAAAACATTTGCTGTCGCTGGTGTTTTTTCGAAAATGATTCGTCATAAGACCAGGCTAGATTTTCATCCGCAGTGGAATGTCTTTAACCTTCTTCATTAGGTATTAATACGATGCATAATGCATCCAAGTTCGAGTTAAGTATGCAAAAAAGTTCGTTCTTTTTTCCGAAACAGATACCTAGTCGGTTCGTCGAGGAACAGAATCGGTGGACTGTTGAGCATCTCCAACGCAATCGCCAATCTTTTCCTTTCCCCGCCGCTGAGTTGCCCTGTACGAGTGTAACGGGACGCGTCCAGGTTCATTGTGACCAAAATCTGTTCGATCTGAAAATGTCGCACTGATATCAGAGACAGAATCAGATATACAGGGTGTCCCGCCTAACGTAAGCACGTTTAGTGTCTCGTTTGTTTTTGAAGATAGAAAAGAATTTCTGTGGATTTTTCATACTCAAGGTCACATGAAGGTCACACTATTATAGACACATTAGATTATTATTGACGTCAACTATTACATCACAATGATAAAAATATGGAGTTCCATTCAAAAAAAAGCACCGATGACCTTGAAATTTCGAAAAATCTGACCTTCAGAAAGTATCTCGCTTATCACATTATTTGCCCCTTTCAACCGAATAATGTTTTCACGTCGCATTGTTTTCTATCTTCAAGGGAAATATTAACGGTGGTCACGTTAGATGGGAAACCCTGTATAATGTCACGTTTTACTTTTTCCGTGGTAATTATAATATACAAAAGACACGTTTATAATTGTTCGAATTCTATCATAAAGTGTGACAATCAGAATTTATACTGATTGTGTTGAAAACAGGTGAACGTGTACCTTTTGTGCCTTTTGTTGATGACTGGCGACAAGCTTAAGATCCGCGGCGATGTCCATCGCTTCCTGTACGGTCAACAGTGGCTGCAAATTGTCGTTTTGCATTATATACGCGGATATCCGTTTGAATTCCGTGAGATTCCTGGTCCTCGAGTTCACCATTATATTCCCGGTCACGCCCTTTGTTCTGAAATCGAGGAAAGATAGACACGGTATATAATGTACATATACAGGGTGTCTAAGGTTGACTTGATCACCTTGAATAATGATAAATGACTGAACGGTATACTTTATGAAAATTTTGAGGCACGGAACTTGAATAGCATCAAAGGGTACATTTTATAGGGTACGTACTTTTTCTGTGGGTGGAGGCATTTCAGAGATTTCACCTTGATTTTTTTTAATGGTATAAAGGTCGACGCATTTTTACTCAAAATTTGTCAGAAAAAATACGTCATTCCGTTAAAAAAAATCAAGGTGACCTTGAAATCTCTGAAATGCCTCCACCCATAAAAAAAAGCACCTTATAAGATGTGCCCCTTTATACCATTTAAGTACTACGCCACAAAAAAAGTGTACCGTTAAGTCATTATTCGAAATGATTAAGTTAACTGAGACACCCTGTGTATAGATGCATGCCTCTCTGTATCTACATAGAATGTGTTTTTTTAACCTTTCTTTTTTCTTTATCAGAAAACGAGATATACACACGCTCGGCATTGAGGCTGGCTCAGATACGTCCAGTAATTTAGTGGTGTGGCGAGTTTAGCCACTTACCAACTAAAGTCTAGTTACTAAAATTACTAAACTGTTCTATGCGTAGAAAGTAGAGCTTTTATTAGCCGGAGTACCCGAGTACTCTGAGTACTCCCTATAATTCGAACTTCTGTTTAAGAATCTGATAGGAGTATGAACACTCGAGTATCTGGGGTTTGATCTGAGTACTCGAGTACCTGCACTTGAATCTGAGTACTCGAATATCCGAATTTAAGTTTTCTTTTTCGTAATTACTCAACTATTAAGCTTTTCTTGCACATTTGAATACAGATTATTATTACAGATAATTATTTTTTTAACATAAGTCGAAGACTTAGAGCTGGGCCCCCGGGAAAGTGAAGCTCAAGTCTGCCCCCCCCCCCCCCCAGATCCTTTTAATCCGGCGATGAATAACTCGCCACTCGACTAAATTACCGAACGTGTCCGAACCACTCTTCTATGGAAAATTTCTCCACCATTGATCGAATGCCAGTTCAATCGCCCCGTTTATTCGACCCGAGAGGTCCGATACAACCGATTTGATAAATCATCCTAACTGTAAAACCTACAGAGAATGAACCCGTCTCAAATCGCGTCTTATCGTTCGGTAATGCCTAACACGATTGTGAATATATCGCAAAATTGCAAAATTTACCATTTGATAATTCAATCGTTTTCTTTTTTTTTCTTCTTCTTCTTCTATTTTTACCCTTCATTGTAAATTGGGTTTCCATCGCGACGGATAACGAACCATAGAGTGAAATATTTCTTACTACAACCCACTACATGACCACGACGAGATGCAGACAGAGCGGTTTTATCGTTGTTTCGCGGAGCAAAAGAGTACTTCTTTGGTCACCGAGGTTTATCGGCGATGACCGTGGTACCCGCGAGCGAACGACACGAGTCTACGACGTTCGCGTGATTGCAGCACCTAAATAAACTCAACGGAAATGCAAATTATCGTGAATTGTTTACGAATTCCTTAATCCGTACTACCCTGAATTTCGTTCAAGTGTTATTAATCCATCCATTTAATAACATCAATTTCTCCGGTTCATCTAACAGGTCTTCTAACAGTTTGCACAACTGTTAACCCTTCAACGGTGCTCGACGAGTATACTCGTCATGAAGAAATTACCACTTTGTCGGGTAATGACGAGTACAATCGTCATGTGAAAATAATAAATCAATTTCTGCTGGAAAAATTGAAATTTTAGTAGAAATCGAAATTTTAGCAAAAATTGAAATTTTGGTCTACAAATATAAAATTTGTGTGGAAATTGAAATTTTGGCCTATAAATCTTTCAAAGGCATTTAAGGTTATAATGTAAATTCATTGGAAGAATTGTTTAAAAAATAATAAAAATAAAAAAAAAAATAGAAAAGTGGTGTGTTTCAGGTGTTAGTAACTACAGATGTGACGTGAAACGAGACAGAGAATTCAAGTATCGTCCATTGCCATAGAAACCGATTTATGAATGAAAATTAAAGTTGATAAATTTCATTACTGAAAAAACAAAATCCATGTAATTGTGATCTTTGAAATGCTTCCACGAATAAACTACTGACAGTGTCCGCTATTCCCCTCGGATTTCTATTATCTAAAATTCTTTCCGATATCAAACGACGTTATCGACGGTATTTTGCGTGTACAAGATTAAAACATTGTTAATTCCGATCCATCGGGCGGCCAAAAACCGATCGAGTCGATTAACCCTTCCTGGCATTGTGAATCGTTAATTTACTTATTGTTAACATTTATATCTCATATCATTAAGAGCCTGAAGATTTAATATGGCGTCGTATCGTATAGTTTACATTTCGTGCCATCTCATAAAGGGTTAAACGCCAATATGTTCATAATAATATGTAAAGAAAAACAATGATTATCGTATACTAGTACTAACGTATAGCCCGCTAATATGTTCATCAGCGTCGACTTTCCCGCGCCAGACAGTCCCATGATGGCCGTCAGTTCACCGGCCCTAAACTCCCCGCTAATGTTTTGCAGCAAGTCCAACTTTTCTGGAAAAAAAAAAATATACGAAAATCGGACCACCGTTCAGAGAACTTATTCCTTGTCAAATCATTATTCACTTGATTCCTAAACTATTTGAAATACAAGAAAACTGCATCAAACTGGAATGGCACGAGGGGAATAATTAACGGGTCATGGTGAATTTTGTTTTAACATTATTATTTTAAGAGATACGAAGGTCAAGTTTGGTTTTTTTACATGGACTTATTTTTTTTCGGATCACTTGATGAAGAGTTTCAAGACGAATTCAATAACCTTTAATGTATACTTCGTTTTTCAATTAGTGTTCGGTGTATTGCGCTTAGAAATTTACTGATAATGTTTAAAAAAAAATTCGTCGTGATTGTGTCGTTCAATTTTATGTAAAAAGTTTTCTCGTATTCCAAATAGTTTAGGGAATAACGAACTGTACCCTTTTCGCACGGACACCCTGTATGGAGAGAAAATAAGATCTAAACAATTTGAAAATTACTCAGTGTGATCTAGGGCAACTGGTCATGTTCATTCCGTACAGTTTACTGTTAGTTCCACCGTGGTTGAGCCACACAGTCCAAGAATCTTTTCTAACCCGTTTGGCTGCAACCACACCTTTCTCCTTCTTATAAATACATGTACATACATACATGTACCGACCAGCTCTAATGGTTCTTGCCACTTGTGCCTCAATGGCTAATCATCCGACTGGCAAGAATTATTCGAGGTAAGTATTGGGAGGAGAGTTATAAACATGAGTAAAGTAGAGAAGAGAGAGAAGTGAAGAAATAATTTTCTTAAAAAAAAAATATTGATTATTTAATAACACAAGTCTCGTCGATATAAAAATTCTTGCTATCATTTTGCAGCATCACGATGCGTTTCTCCCGTTTCGCGAAAGAAACTCAGGGCCAATTTACACGAGAGTGCTCGACCGTTCGCGTAAGAATACAATTTTCAAATCAGTCTGCACGGTCGACCAAACAGGCGACGAAGCCGTAATTCTTAATACGCGTAGAAATAATTTTTGTCACGCAGAACGATATGCAACTGTATTACATGTTGTCCAACTGCTAATTAGATGCTGATTAGCATTCGTGATAATATCATACCGTTCGTAATTATAGTATTATCGTGTCCTGTTTGCGGGCCGATTCAATGTCATGCGTTTATATGACACTCGGAAATCCGTCCGATGATAAAAATACTAACCCCTTGCCCTATGATTTTCTCGATATCTGCAGTCTCCAGAATTATTTTATCATCGATAATTCCCCAGCAACAAAAAGAATTCGTGTACTTATCGCAATTGTTGCTCGCGGGTGTACCCTGACTCGATGTTATAAGGCAAGGGGTTAATAATTACAAGATCCTAAAATTAATTTGTGCTTGGTAAAGAAAAAGTGATTCTGCTAACAAATTAATCTATGATTGAGTGTCATGAACGTTGTTAAAGTAACGATGTACGATCGAATTAACTGAATGAAAATTTTCAAATAATGGCAGAGGAGGGACGAACACAGTGTTAACCTATAAACGTTAGATCGACGGAAGAACGTTGTCGCGAGCATAGACGGCTGTAGAGAGGACGATGATATGAACCATTTCTTTTATAATTGACCACGGACACTACAAGGGTCTTATTGAATTTGTCGCAGACGATAACAGCGGGTCTATTATACGTTTTTTAAAAGAGTTCTTAACCATGTTTGTTCTCTCGTGTTCGTTCCAGTGGTTCAGGGTTAATAAACTCATATGTAATGGTCCCAACGACTCGACCGACGCGACGCGATGCGCGGGACACAACATGCGCGATCTCAGGATTGGGCACGCGGGTCTATTTATAGATGCTTTCAGCCGAACGCTCGGAGCGGCATTCGCACACGAGCAGCGAAAGTATTTTGGTCTCGTGCATTACTATCTTAAATAATTCCGAGTATGAAATGAAATTTCACTCTATGTTAATAAATTTTATTGGCATCGAATCCTGTATTCTCTTATACTTTATCGATTATAACAGGTATGGCCACGGGTGGGTCATTTCACGATGGTCATCTATCGGTCATCCTGTTGGAGGTTCATTTTCATTAATTAGGACTAAAAAAGTCACTAGGGCAAACGCACCAATGAATGAAGACTTAAGAGATTTTCTAACTATTAAAGTCGAATTTTAAATCATAAAAATATTAATAAATACTTTGCACATGAAAATTAGATTTGTAAATATCTATTCCTTTTTGTAATGTATACATTTCAATTTGAAACATTGGAAAAATGTAATTAATTAAATTAAGAAGAAAAAAATACTGATTTCACCAATGAATATGAATTTCTATTAATTATTTCGTAATGGCCACGGGTGGGACATGCATTCTACCAGGTCAGTTATCAACAATAAAGCACTATTTAAATAATCTACTAAACAGTTACGTTATTTATCCAAGAAGTTTGATAGGACTGTGACCATTTATGGTCGCACTACCTAATCAGACAGTAATAATTACAGCAGCGTGATTACATAGTTCATGAGACGATTGATGAATTTTGACAGTATGACATTTAATCTCGATGTTGAATCTACGCTCATGGATAAGCAAAGAAGAGAAATGGTTCGAAAATAATTTGTCACGATTGATTTTCATTAATTATTCGGTGAACAGAGATATAATTATGCTATTTCAATTCTAAACGGTTCGGTAACTCGAGTGATTATATTAAAAGTGGTCATGCCCGATCGTGAACAATGACGGATAATAAGTTAAGTGCATCATTGTGGACGACATTATTATTGACGAGTTCAACGTTTCCCATTGCGCCGATCTCTGTTGTACACTTCATGGTCGACCCACTTGTCATTCAAAGCAATTGTATCTTGTACCCAACTTGTACATTATAATTGTTACAATGGAACGCCTCTTACAATTAGATAAGCCGATAAGCCCATCGAACACGATGTTCCACTTCTATCGATGTTTGATATTATCGCGAAAAAGTGTTAGTTTATTTCAGTGCACTTCAAACTTTAAGGTTAAGTGACATACGATGGCAAGGAAAACTTGGTATAGACGTTTTAATTTCCATGAACGTTAATTCCATAAATAAATTTTACGTGTTTTTGAATCACTAGAATGTTTAATATTAATATCCTAAACAATACAAAAAGTAGACTTCCTTCGCGTTGTCATATTTACATGTACATTAATCTTATTAAGGAGTCGTATGCATATACCCTCGTACTCGATTTCAATAATGTGTATATCAGTCACGTGTAGTAAACGCCATATTAATTTCCAACGACAGAATTTACAATTCTGCTTAGATACAACGTGGCAGAAGAAACATTTCTAATTTAAATTCTGTATTATCGATCGAAAACATCTAAGGTTAACAATCAGTCAACGAAGGTATTCGTAGGTCATAAATATTTTCCATTGCACCATGAAGTTAAAGAAAGAACCGTTTGAATTTTAATCTTAATTACAACGTACATACATATGCGTACACAATATTTATCAATCGTAATTTCAAAACATCTTTCGGATTTAGTATATAAGATTGTTGACCACGGCGATGCGATTTCTGTCTGACCCGTACGAAAAACGACGTCACAGTTCGGAACTTATCGAACTGAACACCCGATAAGAAAACTCGGCCAGAACATTTTACGAACGGGAAGAATAAAATCGGACTTTTCACTGTAACATAGGTTTCCTACTAAGGAGAAATGAAGATTCGTCAGAAAAAACTGTCTTTTTCAGAACGTTTTCGTCAATTCACAGAACAGAGATCTACATTACCGACACATGTTTGTAAAAAGTATTTGTGAGAACTACTTGGCCCACATCTCTCTTAAAGTGTTCTCTACCCTTTTAAAAAGAGGTAATTTATTTACAGTGGCTTACCTTTGGAAAATATCGTCGTGTACGAAATATCCTCGAAGACTAGAAATATCGACCTATCGATCTCCACCATGTCGTCCAACTTTTTCGTGCTGGTAGGCGCGTTTTCCGAACTAGACATGGAGTGCATCAGCTGCTGTTGCATTTCAATGAGTACTTTCGTGCCCATTCTGTCTACCTCGGTCTAGACATTCGAATATTTTCGCCGCGGGCAATTTCCGTTTAGTCCCTTAACGGTCGACGTGCGTAATCGGTTCACTAAACGCAAACACATAAGAAAATTCGATAAATTTTGCGCCCAAGAAAATTGCAGAAAAAAAGACGAGACTAAGCACGATTCTAAAGCATTGATTGTTGCATTTTTTTTAAAGCAAGTATTCCGACACAATTGTTATCACACATATTTCACTTGTGTGAAGTCACACTTCGATTACAGATCTGTCGGTGTCAATATGTATACCATACATTTTTATCAACACACGTCAGGCGAGAATAGATGCACAAAAGAAGCAAAAAAAAAGCACTGGTCTCCCCGTCGTATGTGGTCACTGTACTTTTCTTCGTTTAATTTGCATTGCAGATAGGAATATACTTGAATAATTCACGATCGTATACGAGCGAGCCCGGTTTTAATACTTTTCCTCGAGTCGATTTTCAGTTTGAAAAACACTCCAAAGTCTCGTATCGCCCGAGCGTTTCTATTATCGTACTTCGCGACTTCGCCGCCCCGAGAGAAGTTCCGCGTGTCTCACGGGAATAGTCGTATATGTACAGGGTGTGTTAATCAGAACTACTATTTCAAATAACTGACAATGCATATTTTTCGTAATACCACGTTGTGGTCGATGGAAGGATGAATTCAGCGACCTATAGCACAATGGTATTAAAAACAGATGCATTGACCTTGAAAAAACTTAAGGTCACCTTGATTTAAAAAAAAAAAACGAAAAAATCTAAAAAACTTAAAAATGCTACATAATTCATTAAAACGTTTATTAATATAACCAATGGGTAACGAGTTGTAGATAGTTTTTTTAGTGACTCACCTTGTATATACGAAATACGCGTAGGGTGGATATACATCAGTGAATGAACATTATGTATAAAAACAAGTAAATTAAGTTACTGAAATAACCAGAATTCGTCATCGAACGTTGTGGCACCCCGTTGTTGCAAATCGGCCCTGCCCGGAACTCTCACGTGTCGCAGCACTTCGCAGTGCAATCCTCAATGCAACGACGTCGTGAACCGCATGCAGAATACGGCGACCAAGGAGCGACACCATAAACGGACGATGTGAGGTTACGTCCTCCACGAATAATGTGCGTGTGTGTGTGCTAATGAAACTGCTTCATTTTATTGATAGGTTAAGCAAGAGGAAACACACGTCGTAACCGGTGCATCTTTTATACACTTTCGTCCTGTGTTTCGGTGGATGAAACAATTTGTTGTACAACCACGAGCAAACTCGGCTTCCACTAGGGGAAAAAGTGACGTAGGAGAAGGGCTTCCTACCACTTGGTAAATTTATTTCAAGTACTGAAATAAATGTTAAATTCAGTGATAATTTGGCATTAATTTCAATAATTCTCAATACTATGTGGTAGGAAGCCTTTTCCCTACGTCACTTTTTCCCCTAGTGGAAGCAGAGTTTGCTCGCGAGGGTACGTCTTCGTGACCGTACGCGCAATGTATTAATAAACAACTGTATCGACTGAACCACTCATTTATCACGGTTTGAAGAAATAAAACACGTACCACCAAGGTTTTTATTGAAGATTATTATACACACACGTCGTATGTTCGGCTACAAGTCGGCCTTGTTTGAACCGTTTCATGTGTCCCCGTATTGTACGTGCAAGGAGCAACTCTATAAATGCAACGATGGAAATTATTTCCAACGAGTTGGCATTACACATCCATGTTGTATTCCGTACGGTCGCGCATAGAGACGCATCGCGATACTGTTGTATCTAACGCAGAGAGACAAAGCTTCGTATCTCATCCCTACCACGTGGTTAATAACCAGTTACTAACCACGCACGTTGGAATGTAACCGTGGCGCGAGAGCATAGTTGACAGAATTGCTTCATTACAGTAAATTACTATGTGGTCCATTCGATGCGTGTGAAGTCATGGTTTTTCTGAAGTTTCAGTTTTAAAACCGTACAACGCGACACTGAATGATTGACAAACACTGCCCGTATACGGATGTCAACTGGGCCGTCTATCGGCCGAAATGTAGTAGAGATAAGGGATTGGTCAAGAGAGATTAGTCGAAAAATGAATCTCAAACGGTTGATAATAGTAAATGTTGATAACACCCATCGCGTGTAAAGAGTGACGATGCATTGACATTGCGTACTAATGCTTTGATTTTAGGATTTTTTCTTATCAACGAATAAACAGCAAGAGGATTCGTGAACGCAAAGTAACAACGAATCCAGAAACGGGACTATCTTCTCATGGACAGTAAATGACGTGGGTAGGGGTACTCACTGACATACTCACTGACTGACCTTAAGCCATTAATTTCTGTCACGAGCTAACCACATTGAAAACGACAGAAATTTTCTAAAACGCTTTCTAATGCTGGCCTTTATTTTAGATTTTAGAGAAATCACTAGATAATGTTAATAGAAGAAATAACAATTTCTGTTTAATTTCCACTTAATGCCCATTCTAATGTTTTGTTAATTATATTAATACTTATTAAGCCATACCAGACTTTATTAATGACGATGGAATGATTAATGGTGGTCTGCATGTCATTATTAATTAAGGCAGAATATCAACGCTTATCGGTGGTTCTAGCTGTCCTGGTCGCGATAAGCAAAAATTGTAAATCAAGCAAAGGTAGATAAGTCAATGCTTTACAAGTTGAATGAACGGAAAGTAATTCCTATAATAACTCTGGAGATTCGATAAAAGTACGTCTACTACGAAATAAATAGTAACCAGAAATAGTCAGAGAAGATGAATTATACAATCTTCTTACTTATCAATCTAAATTCTCGAATGGTCAATCATAGAACGTATGCTAATAAACATTGCTGAAAAAAAATCTCGACGCGTCCTTATTCCCGTTAAAATAATTACAATTGAATGACAGGACACGCGATTCGAATATCTCGAGGTGGAACCGGTTTCAGACCGATTATATTATTTTAATTGTCAATTCACATGGAACACATAACACATGTAACATGTACAGTAACACTGGTCTATTCCACAACGTTCGAGATAATGTAGAATAGAATCAAGCAGTGAAAAGCATTAGTATCTAAGGGTGTCATCCTGAGCTTTAAACAGTTAATGAGATTAAATAATTGTTCGACAAATGTCGATTCATTCATAAACAAGCATTATTTTATTATAAAAATTGAAATTTCCACGTTTAAACCATTAAAAATGATGAAATACTTTTTTTATCTTTTATTTGTTATTCGAAACTTTTTATCTAGATAATCAGTTTGCCCATTTCTGGAATGAAGCAACATACACGACGACGAAATTACATAGTCCCGTTGAGAACGTAAACACAACACTCCTATGCAACGCCAATCAGAATCCATGGATCACTGACCTCTCTTTCTCTCTCTCTCTCTCTCTCTCTCTCTGTCTCTCGTTGTGCGTCACAATATTGAAGTTCCGTTCATCCGAAACCGAAAGGAAAAGATCCACAACAATATTCGATGCCGTTCATTCACACGTCACGGAAAGAAGAACATGTAATCCAAACGGGCAAATTAATGCACTGTCAATCACGGGCGCGCAAACTGTTATTTCGAATACACGTGCCGTTGGAGACGCACACTTATGCACAGCATATTTGCCGGGAAAGAAGAGGGCAGTGCGTGTTAACGCCCCGGGGCGAGCATTAATACAGGGACGCGTCAGTCGTTGCCAGAGGACACGGAATTTATATATCTTAACCAAGCGTTGATTATCAATATGCTATCAACTTACAAAAGCAACCATCAGTTCGAGAAATCGGTACGCGATAAGTGAACAAGTGTGAAGCTCGAGCATCCACGTGAACGAGAAAAACACGAACGATTCCAACAATGTTTTGCCACTTTATCAAAACACCTTGCGTTTGTGTGTACGTATTTCTTTTTGTTTTTTTTTTCTTTTTTTTTTCTTTGCTTTTATACACACACACCGTTTTATCTTTACGAATCGTAATCCATCGCAGCTGCGCGAAATCACCTCGAACTTTCTTGAATCACTCGAAGGGATCGCACCGATTGCACAGCGCCGCACTTTGTTACTAAACAATAAAACGGATATGCCGTACCGTCGCACAAAGAAACGACACTTCGTAAGGAGAGAGAGACTTCGCCGCATCGAGTCGCGACGGGTACGATATCATCACCCTCCTACACTCGACCGACGACTGAGCCATTACCCGATTACCGTCTGCCTCCCTCCGTCCCCGCGTCCTTGTCCGCCAGGCACATGTTTGAAAGTTAAAGTTAAACTCGTGACCGCGCACGCTTTATGGCCATATCCTATGCCATATGGCACCACACTGATATAAACAAAAAGTGTCGTCTGCGTCTCTCTCGATTATTTTCGAGGTGTCGAGATCAGAGCGTTATCTCTAACGTATCTGTTCAACTTCGTCCATACGGATGCAGGGATTGAAATTGTTCATTCTATCGGACACGTGATATTCTATTTTCCTTAAATTTTATTACTTAATTCGGTATTGTTGATTCTAACGAATAAACAGGCACTCGTGCTCGTGGGAAATTTCTAAAAGCATGCCGTTTCTGAAATGTTATTTACAAGCAGAGATGGGCAAATTCGTTATCTAGATAAAAAATTTCGAATAACGAATGAAAGATAAACAAAAAAGCACTTTGCTATTTTTACTAGCATAACTGCTGATTGTATGCATATTATTTATGCATATACTGCTGATTTTCAGAAATAAAATTGTGCCCAACTCTGCTTACAAAAAGAAAGGGAAACGATAAACAAAATTTCATTTAATTATATTTTTACATAAATGTCCCTAGTCCTCCCCCTTTGATCCGGTGCTAGGTTTATTTTCTTAAAATGTCAGTGTGTTTCCACATTTATTCGCCTCGTATGGTGTGCGCTTAATTTTTACATCGATAACTCGTTGTAATTCCAGCCAAGTCGACAAGGTTGCCCGCAGAAAGTTTTCTACTGTTATTTTATCTGCATGCCGTGTATCAAGATACAATTATGTGCAAGAGATTTCAACCGAGCATAAGTGTACACAAGTACAATCAAATTCAACATTGTTTAATATCTACGCTCTTATCTTCATGTGATAGATAAAATTAAAAATCAATTACTTTCAATATACATAGTTATTAATTTGGAGTTTTCACGGCCCGAGATAATACAGTTCTCACTGTTGAGGCTTTCCGGTGTAAGCTGCGTCCTTGTGGAATTATTTTCTAAACGTTACGCAAGCAGTGTAGTCATCATCAAGGGGTTGAAAGACAAACTGATTCTGGTACTCAGAATCAGTACTACTGTACATAACTGTAGTTATTAATAATACAGGTAAACGGTAGGTCTAAAAAATTGTTATTTTAAAGATTAAGAGTTGAAAGAAACTGCTTAAAAGTTAACCAATACGAGAAAAGACTGCCTAATTATGATTCCACGGAAGTCACTGCTGTACTTATTTAATTTTAGTATATACTAACGAAGTATAAGTCATGCAATTAATCACACACTCAAATAGCTTTTCCTTTCACAGATTTCCCTATCAGTTAACCTTTGATTGATACCGCATATGTACAATATGCATCAAATTCTTTGCAAATAATCTTTTTTACCGACTGAGTGTTTCTACGAAAAGTACACCTATGTCCCGCAGAGTAGCGTTGCCTATGCAATAAAGTGCGATATGATGTAACGGTACTTAATCATTCTTGCAATTATACTAGCATCCGTAGATCAGGAGAAGAAAGTAATATTACAACGAAAAATAAATCTGTATACACAGAAATGTACTTAATCCGTCATATCGAAATAAATTTAGAAAGACTTTTGTCGCGAATACCAATATACGATCCTTCGTTGACACAGGCTTAGGATACGGAATCCTAAATCCATGCCGGGATATGGGATACGAGATATTGAATCAAAACGTGTACTAATATGTATAGAGCAAAAATACATGGCGTCATTTAAACAAATAAACCTGACAATGAAATCTTTGTAAATACGTATTTCATATAAAAATCGAACACTGCATCGAATTCTACCCATTAAATAACCCCACTTTCATTGGAACGAATTTTTCATACTTTGAAATTCTCAAAGAACGAGCACACGTATGCATTTAAGTCACATTACAATGCATTTCACGTTTCAAAAATGTTTTGTAACTGCAATATGCTTCCACGGATAGAAACATTTACGCTAATTATCGTATACTTTGCAGGACATCCTCAATGGAATATTTCAGTGATAATATTCACGGGAAATCATGTACGTGACAAAATGCAAAAATTCGAATTTGCCGCTCGGCACGCATGCGCTGTTCTTCAGGCGTCCGAAACCGATAGAGCGTCGAACGCCATCTTTATTGGTCTTACGTGAGACGCGCGGGGTACAGCGGTGAATGTGTCAAATCGCAAAATCCACGACGATATCTGAACGATCATGGTGTTTATACAGGAAAGGTGATTGTTCGCGTCTAATCTCAACGTAAGTAACGTGTCGTCACCAACGAACGATATTTCTTTAGAGTTTTCCACGACTCCGATAGCGACAATTTTCTGTCGGTCAATAGTAGTGCCAGCGTGAAATTTCGCGACTATCCGTAGTGTCCCCAATGAAAAGCCCCCTGAAACGGACGAAATACGCGATGAAGATCGTCGACACCGATGCTTTTCATATTTCATCGTGATGCGCGATTTCTGGGATTGAAACGGCTACCAAAAAGATGTATAGATCAGTTTATTTTAAGGGACCGTCTTGACAATAGCTACCATCCATTTTGTTTATGCACCTACGGGGACACGTTTCGTTCCAAAAACATCGTACCCCGCTCACGTCCACTCGTTTTTGAATGTTTATTCTCGTGGAAACATTAAATTTACGGGCAATTAATTCAGCTTGATTCGGCCATGGTTACGATACTCATCGGTTGTTTTAATAACGTGTTTCATTAAAAATTACACGACGATAATTCGATCGCCGCGTGTGCTGTGTGAACACGCAGGATGCTTTGATTTCGTGTTTATCACTATGTGTCACGATTCGCGATCGCTATTTCATTTGTGTTACGGAACGCTGGCTTTCCGTAGTTATCATTAATAGGCTCGCGCGGCAATGATATTTATAGGTACATTTATCTTCTTTTTTTTTCGTTTTTTTATGAATAACGCTGTATATTGAAAAATTGTATGAATACATATATTACGAATCAATCAAAGTTTTTGCAATCAACGGAATGTTTGAATAGCGATTTCGTGTTTTTTAGGTACAGAAATTAAATAAAAATGGTTAGCAACATTTCGCGGGGTACACCCCGTATACAGGTCTTCAGACCTACGTATGAGGAATTCAAGGATTTCACCAAGTATGTGGAATATATGGAAAGCAAAGGAGCCCATAAAGCAGGCCTTTCACTGGTAAACAGGGACTTTATCAGCAAATTAATATACAAAAGAAGTCTATGACTGTGAAAGAGTATAGTAAGTTAGCAAACTCAGAACGCTACAGTACTCCACGCCACTTTGATTATGAAGATTTGGAGAGGAAATATTGGAAGAATATAACTTATGTGGCGCCCATATACGGGGCAGATGTTTCTGGTTCCTTGACAGATCCGGATGTGAAAGAATGGAACATTAATCATTTAGGAACAATTCTTGATTATGTGAACAAAGATTATGGTATATCTATCGATGGTGTGAACACAGCGTACTTGTACTTTGGAATGTGGAAAACGACATTTGCATGGCATACAGAGGACATGGATCTGTATTCGATAAATTATTTGCATTTCGGAGCTCCAAAGACATGGTATGCGATACCTCCGGAACATGGACGAAGACTGGAAAGACTCGCCAGTGGTTTCTTCCCCTCGAGTTATCAAAGCTGTCAGGCATTTTTGCGTCACAAGATGTCTCTCATTTCCCCTCAAATATTAAGGCAGTATTCGATTCCGTGCAATAAAGTGAGGCTCTGTTGTTTTATCTGTTTTTCACAAATGTATCTATGTAATAGTTTGTAAATGACGTGTTATCATGTTCCTAGATAACACAAGAGGCTGGAGAAATAATGATTACTTTCCCGTACGGTTATCATGCCGGTTTCAATCATGGATTCAATTGCGCCGAGTCAACTAATTTCGCTGCACCTCGATGGGTGGAGTATGGTAAAAGGGCTACACAATGTACCTGCAGTAAGGATATGGTTAAAATATCCATGGATACCTTTGTGAAACGCTTTCAACCGGAAAGGTGATGAAGTTTTTTTTTATGAGAATGCACATTAACTCGAAGTTACATGTTTTTGCATTGTTAGAGGCAATTCGCTAATTAAGAATGATTATAGATACGAATTGTGGTTACGCGGAGAAGATATTGGTCCACATCCCGAAGATCCTAGGCAAACCGCTGCGCCTATGCCCTCTCAGATGGACCTTTTATGCAGTAACAGCAGTAACGGGCAATTGCCACAGAGTTTCTTAAGTGCTGCGCCGAAAAATAAACGCCACACAATACACAAAAAGAAAAATATCATGGCAACGAATCCGGATGTCGACATGGAAGAATTGGTGAATCGTCCGGACATTCCACCAGACGTGAAGAAAGTTTTACAAGATCTAGAACTAGAAGAAGTGGACGATCAACCAGACGAGCAACAGTTAGAAGTTTTGGAAGATATATGGCTGAAGGCAGGAGAAATGGGTAAAACATATGTTTCCTGTATACTTTGTTACCACGTTCGCGTTGTTTAGTTCCATTTAAATGTCCAATTAACGAGTGTAAGTTTGTAAGAAATCGTGTTTTCATTGTAGACGTGAACGAAGCGACTGTGTACGACGACGGTTACAATCGGAAAAAAAGCCGCAAACGGAAGAAAAAGAATCCCGATAAAGAGAAGAAAACGAAGAAGGATTCCAATAAAAGTATCGTTGGAAATGTTACGATAAAGACTGAAATCAAAGAAGAGCCTGACGATAGCTTAAACTTCTTATCTCCATCGTTCCCAGAGCAAAACAGTCGATTAGATGAACAAGGTTGTTCTAATGCCATTCTGCCCGTTAATAACATTATCGAAAGTATCAAACTTGAAGAAGGTTCCGATTTCTCGGAAACCACTGACAAACCGGTCAAAAAGAAGAAGAAGCATTCGAAGTCTGGGGAGCCAAAGAGGGGAAAATCTAAGAACTCTGGCAGGAAGAAAAATAAACATATAAATCTATCTATCTTCGATACTAATGAGCCTTTGGACGTGTCAGATGCTAACGTGCAACGGCAATTGATGGCTATGCCAAGTCTAAATCAACCGAAATCGTTACTAATAAAGGATGTTTCTAATAATCAAGGTATGGCAAGTCAATTACCCGGGAGCATAATTTTCTCTGGTAACGAGCCTACTGTAAATGTAATGAACAAGTCGATCGCCAACTCTGTATACAATGATCCGAGTGTAAGTGAGAAACTTGCAGAGACTATTGCGGACGAACGAATGAGCTTGTACATGAGGAACACTAGGAAAGTGAATTTGGCCCTCATGAATCAAACATTGTCGAAATCATTGATGAAAAATATATCTACCGCGGATCAAATGAAGCCTTTCAAAATAGACAAAGCTGTGGAGTCCGAGTATATCGGCGACGGCGCTATAACCATACAAGAGGTAAAACCGTTGTTAAGCCAGACCAGTTGCAAGAGCGTAGGGACAATGTTGACGGAAAGGTCTATACCGAATTACACGAAGAAAGACATCATAAAAGCTCCCCGTTTGTGTGTATTGAAATCCGCTTACAATATAACCGCTACCGAAGTGTCGACCAAGGTTGATTCTGACAAGCAAACTGGGGACGAGAAAGATACCCGTACACCGTCGAATAGTATAGTAGTTGTACCAAAGAGTTGGCCTATCGCCAGCCTCGAGGAGCCTAAACTTCCAAATCCTGGGATTATGTTTTTGAATTCCAGTTTCTCCAGCCCGCCGATTCTGCAAAAAGAAATTCCTGTACAAGAGGCGGCGATCGATTCGAGATCCCTAGAAGTTTCGAAGCCTATCTCTCATACAGCTACTCAGATCCCACGACTGGAAGGATTCTTCACAAAGAGTGGGATATTAGGTCAATCGCTGGGACCGTCAGTCACTTGTCACAGCATCAGCAGGCCAAGCACAGACGTCAAGACCCTTGGAAAGAGGTCCACGACCGACACGTCGAAAATGTTGGCGACAAAGTTCTGGCAACTTCCATCCGGTAGTGGCAGTTTCTTTTTCCCAAAAGAGGCCACCACGGACGATCAGCAGACTCAGTCTTCCGTCGTGAACTTGGATTCCCCTCAAATGTCCGCCACTTCTGCGCCGAGTCTACCAAACAACACGTTCTTCTTGACGTCCGCGACAAAGTGTACAAAGGTGCCGATGGGCCCTCAATCTTCGATGATGACCGACTTCGGTAAGAAATGTTTACAGAAAGCGAATTCAGCTAGCGGCGAAGCAGCGAGTTCATCGCTTCTGAAGATTCTAACGAAACCGAAAGAGTCGTTGCTACCGAAGAGAACGTTGTCCCAGAAGGACACATTCGGTAGGAAACCGTTCAAAAACACAAGCACCGTTGTCGGTAACGTGAAGACTGTGTCCACCCAAGTGGACAATCCGTTAGAAGTGAATCAATCCGGGAAAAATCTAAATATTATGACCATAAACGACGGCGCACAGTACCGTGTGAGTAATTCGAGTTCAGATTTACAAGCGTCGCACAACATTATCACAATCACGCGTACCGATCCGGTCCAACCGCAAAATGACTACGAAACTGATACTCCGTTGCAATGTCAAACCATGCGGAGGAGTACAGAAAATATATACGCGAAAATGCCAGCATTGAAACCTATAAAATTGTCGACGACCAGGCGAAAGTCGAAAGAAAAATTGAAGAAAGCGACGACCAGGAAAAAAGACATACCGGAGATGGTCGCGACACTAATGAATCAGGAGAATTCGAGTATAGTAACAATTAGTCCTGTGGACAAATCATCTTGTATTACTCACCGTGTATCGTTGATACCAGGACATATATCCGATATGCTGTACCCCAGCGTCCCGAATAACGAGCTACTGAAGGCGTTCAACGACTACTGGAGCGCCCAAATCTCGCATTGCGCGATCTGTGCGCCATTCACATCGAGTTGCAACGGACACGGTAGACTGATGCCTCCAGACTGGAAATATTGCAAACCAACCGTTTTACCGGAGAGTTCACCGATATGGGTAGGTTTCACGTAAACAATCTCGCTTCTGTAATTCCCAAAGACTATATACGTGTTGTCAAAGAAATACAGATTTGTTATAGCACCGACGAGGTATAAGAATAGACCTTTCACATTATGGGAGTCTGTGGCCCACCTAAACTGTAGTACCGACACCTTAAAAAACCTGCGATTTTAGCGACTTCTATGTTATGAGAACGGTAAATCTACGGTGGATAGTAACACTACAGTCTCCTTTCGATTATCGTCCCGAACTCGGGTCCGCGTCAGGACAATAATCTCATAGGGAGGCCATTCCACGCGAAATGGGACACTTTTTGGAGCACAATTTCGGATTTTGTTCAAATTTGGATATATTGTAGTCTTTAACGATATATAAACGTACCTTGAAAGATTTTTGAAAATTTTAAAAGTTGTTGATTTTTCAGCTATTTGCAACATATCCAAATTTGAACAAGATCCGAAATAGTGCTCCAAATTCGTTTTTTGCCCGAAGCCCAAGCCTCGGCAGCAAAGTATACTTTTTACAGGTTCCACCCCACCCCCAGTGGTGAGGGTAACGCCTGGACAATAATTGTGTAGGACAAACCAGACAATAATCGAGAATAGTCTGTAAAATGGAAATGGGGTAACGTAACCTCACAAACGTGGACCGCAAAAATGCGTTTGATGAAATGTCTACTCCTATACCTCGTCTGTAGTTATAAGCTTCCGTAACGCCACTTGGTGGTATACTTCAAGCAGCTCGTCTATGTTTCAATTGTGTCGTTAGGTATCGGCAAATATATTCGTCGCGAATTCGAAGGAACAAGTGGTTGAGCCGGACAACGACAAGCTACTGCGTTGTAGAGAATGTCACGTTACCGTGCACGCTTCGTGTTACGGTGTTACCGTAGTGCCCACGGACATACGTAATTGGGCGTGCGACAAATGCAAAGCTGGTAAAACACAGGTGGTAAGTAGCTGTGATTTTCAGCGGGTAAAAAGAAGAAAATTTTTTAACTTCTTATGGATATATATTTTTCCGTAGATGTGTTGTCTATGCCCCATGCGTGGCGGTGCTGTGAAACGTACCAGCGACAGTAACTGGGCCCATATATTATGCGCCCTCTTATTACCAGGTGTCACTTTTAAGGATGCTGTCAATAAAGATCCTATTAATGTCTTGACCATTAGACCTGACATAGTCAATCAATTATGTTGTTATTGTGGCCAGAAAGATGGAGCGTGTTTGAATTGCAGTCAGTGTACTCACTTGTTTCACCCGTCTTGCGGTCTGATTTCCGGCGCAACGTTCACGATACCCGTGTACAATTCACTGGAGATTCAGGTACTTGAAGAAACTTTGGTTATTCTGTTGACAGGACCGTGTATTTTTACGTAATGTAGTGAAATAGTACATCTGATAGAGCCTAAATAGAAACTCTTTTGCGAACCTAACCTATCCGAGGTCGTTGCTCGTCTGCGATCCTTCCAGTACTGGCCCAGAAAGTCAACTAACTCAAGGGGGGGGGGGGGATGTTTTCGTACTGTTCCGGGATTTTTTGTTTATCGTTCAACTCAGACCTTTACTTCTGACCATGGTGGGGTTTACTACGTCACTATGTCGTTACCTGAAAGTATACGAAAAACTAACCTACACCCTATAAAAAGTGTTATTTATTGTAGTACCTCTGAAGGTAATAAAGTGATAATGACATTCGTATTCAGGTAACATGTGATGGACACGACGATGGAAAAGAAAAAATTCCAACGATCCGACAGGGAGAGATCGTTTGGGCGAAACATCGGAACTCGCGGTATTACAAGGCCAAAGTAGATTCCATACACGATACCCTGTTTTATATGGTCACGTTTAGTGACGATAGTTTCAGTGAAGACCTGTATCCATCAGATATAACGGTAAATATATGTATATACATATATCTTTTATAGAATCGAGGCGTGGATGACTTACATTTTATTTTTCTAAATTAATTCTATTTATTGTACTCGTTGGGTTTTTAGTTTATACACATTTTGCTACCATTGGTTTACAGAATTACGATCCTGGAAACCCACCGCAACAGGGGGCTGCTGTTGTCGTAAAGTGGACTGATGAAAATTTGTATGACGGTATCTTTGAGGGTACAAATCACAGAATTATGTACACTGTGAGTAACTAAACAGAATGTCTAAAGTCGGTAAATGAGTATTGATGATGTAAAAAAATTATTTATACGCACCGATATCTTAAAAATGATTTTATAGTTTGATCTTAAAAATCATTTTCTTGGCTGTTATTGCTATGCTTAGCAGTTCAAGATTTCCTCAATGTATAATTATGTTTCAGGTAATTTTCGAAGATGGCTCGCAGCTAGTGCTGAAGCGGAACGAGATTTACAGTTTACAAGAAGATATGCCAAAAAGAGTGCGTTCACGTCTGGTAAGTCTAGTGTTAAACTAATCTGTCCTGCAGGAAATATTTGAATGATTCTCTAGGAACGGTTCACCTTGCTTTCCTTTGCTTTTTATCGTATTATTAATTTTTTTTTTCTCTTACTTTTAATTTAATCGTTGCTCACAAACGACTCGAAGGCTTACGTTTGATTTTTCTGTTTCAATTGGTTTCGTTTAAAGTCTGTTGCGACCGAAATGAAGCACCGGTATCATCTGTACGGCACGGAGGATGAGTCCGAGGCGCAAAGAAAGGTGAAACAGTCGAAAATATTGTGATTAAATGCAAAATTCTATATGGATCGATGTAAATAATTAATAGAGACAATTAATAATTATTCAATCGCTGTAAATATCACATTACGAAATAACGTACCTACTGTTTTTCGGTCTTTTTCCTAAACGTTTTTCTGGAGTGGACCGAACGGACAAATCAATTGTTTCTCTTCGTTTTCTGAATTTCTTTTATCTTCTACTTTCTTTTCTCTTTTATCATTTCAACACCGATAGTATTTGTCAGCGTCACGACTTCTATGTTCTTGAGTACGTCTTTTGTTGCTTGCACTCGCTCTGAAGAGTATTAGAAAAATAAATTCCTGTTCGGTTACGAATGTTAAACATTATTCATACGGAATAAGGATGGATCTGATGTTATCGATAACGAGTGACCCGACACGGTCCCATTGAATACTTAGGAATATTCCTGTTGCATTTAAAACGGATGCTTAAAAAAAAAATCAGATTCTTAGAAAAACAGGCGTGTCCGTTGGAAATTTTTTATAATACGTATTAAAAAAAAAACTATCGAACAGATTAAGATGGACACCACTGTTACTCACATCAGATGCATCTTTCATTTCATTGAATAACGGATATTAGAACATCTCGTTAATATAAACAAAAAAAGTATTAAAGGAACCGTGATATGGATCACGTGTCGATGTAATATGCGTCCCTTTTATGGCTATAAATAAACATGTTCGAGTTTTTAACCGTTCGTCACGTAATTAAGAGATAATGCAGATAACTTCACCCGCGTAAAACTGATACGTAGGACATTTTTGATTCCATTGTAATTTACAAGCAGCTATCGACATAGTAAGCTCGATACGAGTTGCCTCAAGACACTGTTCACCCGGTGACATGGATCAAAGAAATGATAAAACTCTCAAACATATTTCTGTATATATATATATGTATCCACATACCATATGTCATTTTAAGCGGACATCCCATGTGCGTAGTTTAAACCGCAATTTTTTTACTTTGTTTTACGAATAAGGATCTAAAATTGGTAAATTTTTGGATGTTTGTTGTGTTGCGTATATCCGATTAAGAATCACGATTTTTTGTATAAAGCTACTGAAAGCATTAATAGAAGTGGAGACAAGGTGTCTCTAAAGAGAAAATGGTTTCTTCGATGGAAATAGAGGAATAATAATATGGAGCAAAAAATGTTCCCACCAGTGTAGGACATTTTTTTCTACCATAACGGACCTTTCATTAAAGAAATCATTTTCCCAGAGTCACCTCGTTTTCGGAAATTATTTATTGCGATATGTTACAATTTAGAAGAGTTCAACGGTTGTCAGTGAAGTGATCGATATGTAGGGGTAAGGCAGTAACTGTTATCGTCGTGTAATCTGCTAGAGCAGGCAGTAAATGTTACATGTTTTTGAATTAACGGTTTAGTAAAATGATATTCTATTTAGAGAATGAAAAGTGACCTTCGGGTTTGGGAAGTTGTTCCATCTAGAAAATAAAGGTTACCACCGACTATGATCGGTTTACCTTGTAATGTATAAGCACAGACCACGTATAGGAGTAAACCTTTCATCGAATATATTCTTGCGGCCCACTTATCTGAGGTTATGTTACCCCATTTCCATTTTAGTGTCACTACCAATCGTAGATTTACCGTTCTTATAACGTAGAGCTCACTAAAATCACAGACTTTTTAAGGTGTCGATACTACAGTTTAGGTGGGCCAACAACTCCCATAAGATGTGAAAGGTCTGTTCTTATACCTCGTCGGTGGTATTAGGAAAAAAAAAAGAACATACAATTTGTTAACGACTATTGGACTCTTTTTATGCGACATATCGTTCAAGTCATTTTTAAGCGGAGCACCATTGATATGTGTTAGTACTCAATCGCGCACTAGTTCATCACCAGTTTAGTCTGTGAGAAAATGAAGAATTTGTAACATAAGAAAGAAAATCGGCGACACGAGTGTCGCCATTATGCGACGACGCAAGTGTCGCCATCTGCGACACTTTCAGTTCGTTAGACGTTAGCGTTTTGAAATCATATGAATACTCTGTATCGGTTTTTGAATGGTTACTTGTAGCGTGGTAGAATTTCCAATATTTCATCTGTCACCTTCCTTCTCTGTTTCACTATTGTTCCCAATCATCCAGACACGTAAATAAACAGAACGTTCGGCAGGAGAGACACTAACCCCTGTATATGTGTATTTTTAGAGAGAATTCGTGGTTCGATTAATAGTGTTCATATGATCTCTAAGAATTCGTTTCCTAAATGTTTTATTTATCTTGAAGCGGTAACGCGAAGCAAACGATAGTTTTAACTTAAACAAAAAAAAAAAAATAAAAATAATAAAAATGTGTAATTTATCCCGAATGAAGATTATCACTTCCCCGATCACTTTATATACCTGTTGATTGACTTAGATCGTGGGGAACTGTATTAGCGTACTATCTGTATATGGTATTCATTAAAAAGCAAAGAAGAAAAGTTAACAATGTATCCGAATTGTAGAAACATACTGGATACGGCGTACAATAAAAATTATAAATATTAAACCGTTCCTTTTTTCATTATTTCGAATTAGTTCGTCACCCCGCTTTGTTATTTAAAGAGTTCCTGTAAATGAGAAATTAATTTGTAGATTACAAATGATTATCCATTTATAGCATATGTCAACATTTACAAAACACTACAAAACTTTTGATTATAATTCCTGCGTCACTTTAAATCAAGTGAAATGTCAAATACAAATTTCAGTGTATATCCAGAATTTGTAATGTGTGTGAAGACTTCTTCTGGACTCTTAATAGAAAAGTACGTTTATTGAATAGTTATTCACATAATCGAGCATCCCTCGTACGTTCTATAATACTAAATATAATATTTATATTAGAAAGACATCGTCCATTGAGAATAGGTACAACAATAATCTATAACGTGTCGTTGCTTACTCGATCGTCTAACACACAGTTTGTTTAAAGCTTTGCACACATCACTTTTCAACATAGATTAGAATACCAACATATCCCAGAAATAGGATAAGATTGGCAACACAACATGTGGTTCAAGTACACGAACTGCTCATAAACAGCACAGTGCAATAAATATTGTAAAAAGTTGAAAATCAGAAGTCTGACACCTTATTATGTTTTATCTCCGAGATCCACTATACAGATAGTGTACCCAAATGTATAGTAACGTATACACACGTCTCTTCGGTCGGTAGAAAATGTAAACTAGTATTAAAAAGTTCAATTAGATCCCTCCTCGATATACACTTCTGTAAATTTCGGTTTGCAACCATAAATATTGACTTGAAATTAAGATCTCCAGGACGCCCTATACATCAACATGAAAATGATTATCAAACACTTTATAATCGTGACGTAACGTCAATTTAAGTAGTGTCACAAATAGTTAGATCGATTTATCTAACTATTTTCGTTTATAAATATTATTCAATTAACTTCGGGACGATCTGTAACAAATATATCACAATAACTGTTAGATCTAGTTTGCTACAAATGCAAGAATTTTCTTGATCTTTTATATATAATGCCTCGACGTTAATATTATAATCAGTATAATATCATGTATCGCCTTCGATCGTAATCAGGCATTTAGACCACGAGTGATTCCCCTCTCGAATTGTATTTTAATTGCATCTCTTTCGTCTGCGTTTACACGGATATAACTTAGATTCTTTTTCAAAACGGTCAATGCCGTGACACCGATAATTACAATCAAACACCAAACGCGCATTTATAATCATGATTGATACCGGTTGCACGGTTGATAACATTACAGTACGAAAAGTAATAAAAAAAAATATGCTTCTTTCTTAATTCCTATACGCCGGTTGTCATTCGACTGCAGTTAATGTTAAGGTCTGTCGGGTTACAGAGAGCATGGTCGCCAGGTGGTTTAAAGTCTTTCGCGACTCCATGTTTACGAGAGTCCCCAGGCGCACAAATTCAACGGAAAATCGTGTAATAAGTTAATAAGAGCCCCGTAACACGATAATCATGGAATTACCGTATAATAAATCTATTCACCGGACGTTTCGCGTACCCGACGGCACAATTAAGCCGACGTACTGTCCTGAAAACGCGTCCGGCATTTCCCGTCCCACTTTCACCTAACGCTGCACGCTAAGTATCAATTCTCCGACGGTAGAGTCTTCTTTATTAATTCGTAAGTACGGCATACATATTTTTTTCTTTTCTTCTTTTCCACTGAACAGTTTGGAACGATAATTCTATATTTATATAGATAGTTCCGTATGGAAATATTCAACGGTCAGGTTGAAAATTAACTCCCCCCGAAAAGTTCCCCTTGGAGGAACTATTTCTAGTGACGTCACATCTGTATTCGTGGTACATACGCACACATACACATACACACAGCCCCACATGATTCTCATATTAGCAATACTGGATCCATTCTGTGACGAATTGTCCCCTTTATCTTCTGTTCAACTTGCACCAAAGGGCGCTGGCGGTCAACAGATGCATCAAGACACCAATCCCGAGAATCAGAATCAAATTGTCCACGACGTTAGTGTCGGCAATGTCCATCTCTTTCAGGAATTGCGTGGGTTTCTTATAGTGACAATAGAAATCGTCGCACTTCAGGTCCATACGGTCGAAACCGTACACGGTATGGAGGAGACTGTGGAAACTGGCGCGAAAATACGACACGTGGAACATCCAACGGAACGCCAGCGGGGTGTCTATGTAACGGATACAGAAACCGAACACCGAGAACAGCACGGCGATTATAGGACCGGCAAATACAGCGATCTGTGGACAGAGAAACGTTTCAGGTTATGTTCGTCTGGCCGTTTTGTCAGTTCGATTGGTAACATGTCTTCTTTTTTTTTTTTCAATATTTACTCTGCAAGGCTCCATCTACTGACACTTGGTCAGTTTATAAGCAGAAAAGGGCATTGACTGCTAACATATTAGATAATCTTAACTAATATCACCGACGAGGTACTGTAGTCGAGACTAGTACGAGGGTACTAGTCTCGATTATTGTCTAGCTTGTTTTACACGATTATTGTCCAGGCGTTATCCCCACCATTGGGGGTGGGGTGCAACCTGTCAAAAGTATACTTTCTAGCCGAGGCTCAGGCAAAAAACGAATTCACGAGGATCTGAGGCATTTCTCCGTATCAGATTATTGTTCTGTCGCGGACACGAGTTCGGGACAATAATCGACAGGAGTCTGTAGTGTTACTATCCACCATGAATTTACCATTCTCATAACAGAGGTCGCTAAAATCACAGGTTTTTAAGGTGTCGGTAATACAGTTTAGGTGGGCCACTACTGATTACTGATAGCTTTTCCTCCGGAAGTCGAGTGCCGATGCACTATCCTACCAATGGAGGCGAGCCGAAGAATGGTTTATCAACCTACTCAAGCCTTATGGTGGTCTGCAGTGGTTCCTCCGGAGTTCAGCTTATAACCTTCTTTTCAACTTTATTAGGCCTGGGCCAAGGGTGGGCCACTAACACTCATAATATGAAATATCTACTCCTATACCTCATCTGTAATAGAATCGAAAAAGCGCGTACCTTCACCGGCGTGGTCGCGCCGATAAAGAAGCCCCAAGCTTGGGCGGTCAGACTGGCGGCTATACTGACGACCATGAAAGTAAGTATACGAGGCGTTTCCACCGGCTGTCCTGTCAGCCAATAGCTGACCGCCAAATAGGTCGCCGCACAAGACGCTTGGAACGGGATCTCGACCAGCAGCATACTGATATAATACGGCGCCAATCGATACCATCGGTTGAAGTGCTCCCTCGAGAGGATCCGCATTTCTTGTGGAACTGAAACATTCGAAAACAGAACCATCAACACTTTTCCGTCGTATTTGTTTTGAGGGCCACTTAAAATTCCGAAAGCCGTCCGAGAGGACGCGGTCAGTTAAAAATATACATGTAGTTCGACCGGTTAAAAGACGGATTCGTTTCGGTGACCGCTGGTACACATTGTTGTATCGCGTGCGCAGCTATTCACGACAAAGTGATTGACTCACACTGTCTACCTCCACAGTGGTTCTCGCTTTCTTCGAAACGTATGAATGTTTAGACCGAACTCACCTTGAAACACTTTTTACAAAAAAAAAAGAAAAAAAAAAGGAAAGTGGTCAGCATGACACCTTTCACTTATGGTGGTATAATTTAAAAGATACATACGATTATACTGGGTGTTCCATTTAATGTGAGCAGCTTTCGTATCTCGTTTGTTTTTGCACAAAATTTGTTTTAATGAATACCCCAAGTGATGTTCGTCAACTTTGATTGTTTATTAGTTCAACAATTATAATTTACCGAAGAAAGATTGATACCATATTTCGAACATCTTTAAAGTCAACAATTAAAAAAATTTTCAAAAATCCTTTTATATACCACTAAAGATTATAACACAGTCAAGTTTCAACAAGCTCTGAAATGTTACTCGGAAAATTGTCCGATTTCGCGTGGAATGACCCGTAACGGTAATCTAACCTATTCTATATTTCAAGTATCAAAAGTACCCTACGTATCCTGACGGACAGGTTTCACTGCTCCTTTGAGTATAATACGTCTTCATGATGCTCCCGTACGCTGGGAGTGAATGGCCACTACAGATACTGTTAACTCTTTCTCTCTCTCCCTCTCTCTGAGTACTGCAAATCGGCTTCTCGTGGAGCTGTAACCGCGCACGCTGGCGTTCCTTGACCCAGATTCGTGGACCACTGATCCCGTTGCTGGGTCAATACCGCAAAAACCATGAATACCGGCCAAATACCGTGACAATGCTCAATTATCGCGACGACAATATGTATAATTAGTGTGTACGATTTGATAACCATAATCGGAAACGATATTTCAATGTTAAGCTGCGTCTGCACTACATAGCATAACAAGTTGTATATCAAAGTTATAGAACTTGTTGGAAGAACAGAGAGAAAAATTTGATAGAACATTTCTCGTGTTATGTAACAAGTTACATGTTATCCATCACGTGTGACGCCATTATTAATAATGAGACACGAAATGTTATACAAACTTGTTAGGGACTTGTCCAGAAGGTATAATTTGGTTAAGTTATAAAAACATGTACAGCAAATTTGTATAACAATATTTTGTTATATCTCTTTGAAGCACACGATTTTACAACAAACAAGTGCTTAGTTGCACGAAAAATGTATTTTTCCATAAAATGTGACAAAGCAGTTTTATTTTAATTATTGGTTATTCTTAGTAATTTCACGATTTAAAGGTGGTACAAGTAAACCCACTAAAAAAGTCAGACATTTTTTATGCGACTATGCTTCAAAGAGGTGTAGTGTAAACGCAGCTTTACACGCGCTCGCCGACTATCAGGATTGACCGGGCATCATTTTTCCTTAATTGTATAGAATAGAAACAGGTTTGCGCGCAAGTGTGAGAAGAAATTGGGCAACTGCTCCGAGGAGCCGGTTTCCCGATGACCTGATCGTAAAAAAAGAAACTGAAATTCATGAATTTCGGTCGCTGAATTAATAATATCGTGGAGAACCGCAGACTATTCTATAGAGTTTGTTATGTGATTCGATCACCTACTCCATCATCCGACGCAGTGTTTCCTAACGTGGGGCAATTTCAATATTTTGGGGGGGGGGGCGGGGGCCAATTCGCAGATCATTGACATTCGTCACCCCATCGACAACAGTTTTTTATCCCATTTATGCGTCAAGATCTTTGAGGCGTTAAGGTCCAAAAAAGGTTAGGAAACATTAATCTAACGTGAGCCCTCACTTGTTATTAGGCCACCCCTGATTAATCTCGGATACCTACAGGCAAGGGTGACGGCCATTTTTCCTGTGTACACGATCAGCAGCAACGATCCGTACAGGTAGACGTAATTAGCTAGGACACCGTTCGCTCTGTAACCGCTTCCCATGTAGAGGTAGCCGAAGATCACTCCAATCAGCAGATGACAGAGAAGACGGACCACCAGTAACGTGTAATCTCGTTTCAGGCAAAGTAGTTGCCTCTTGTAGAGGAGGTAGCACTGCGCGAGGAATCCTGCCGGCGGCGGTGGTTCTTGCGACGTGTCTGTGCGAAGAAATTTGGAGGCTAGGATCGTGTCATTTACAAATTGTGACGGATCTCTTTTGTTTCAGAGGATTTACTAGGATAACTATTAGCAAAACAAATCCCTACTGTGAAAATGGACATTATAAAATTCGCTAAAGCCCACTACGTGCACCTTCACTTTTAATTACCTTTTTCTCCTTTTCCTTCTTTATATTATAATTACAACTAATATTGATTTACTCTAGACATTAATGATTAAAAATCCGCATATTACTTTGAAAATATTAGCACAAAATATATGTAAGTAATTGTAAGTATACAATTAGGAACATTTAATAAAGGAAAATACAAAAAAAAACTAATAGCGAAGAGAAGAGTTGGATATTGTAAGAAATTGATAAGTGTATCTTCATCGAGTGAAAAAGCAATATCCAGATCATTTTAATTACCATTTGGCTTCTGTATACATGTAGTAACCGGTTTGTCATCTCTGCACATGGTCTCCGCGGCAGCTGCCAATTTGTCAACGCTGATGCCATAATCACCGATCGCCACTTCTAACACTGTAACACGACACCGTGCAACACGTTTATTATGTCATATTTACAAAGGGTATACAGCAGAATACGGTGGGCAAACGTGCCCTTAAGATGGGATTGCGACAGTAATCGCGACGGTACTCACGAAAGTCGGCTGGATTGTGATAGGCCGGACAATCGGCTCCGACCGAGGACATATGCGGCAGCAACGATTTCACCGGGCCCCTGAATATACAGTAACCACCGGCAACTGCGTAAACCGAGTCGAACATCTCCAGAAGCAACGCGCTCGGCTGGTGTATTGTGCAGATCACCGTGCGCCTTTCCATTTTCGCGAGACGCTTCAGCAACGCGATACACTGGCTGCAGGACGCGGAGTCCAAGCCTGAAATAACGTACAATTCCCGTCGTTAATTGTTTGTTAAATAATTATAGGGTAAACGCACCAACTTATGCGATTTTGTAACTAGTCGATTTTCAAATAATAATAATATTAATAAACATTTGGCACAAAAAAATTAGACTTTTAAGCCATGTAACTGTTTTCCACTTTTTTCCTGAGGGAGGGGGCGGGGCATAAGGGCCCGAACGGAAAAAATTGGATTTGCCCCGCCCCTCCTCAAGTACAAGTTATACTTATGAGAACAATGCAACAAAACGTTCGAGGACAAGAAAAAAAATAATAAATGGGGAGAGGATCGATGATCGTCTTCGGTGTGTCTAGATTAATAAGTAACAGTGATCACGCCACACGGTATACAGAATATAAATTGTACGCTGATTTAATGGCAGAGGCGAAAATAACATTTCGTGCCCCCAATTTCAGCTCGATTGGGACGATGGATGAGTATGGATATGCAATCACATAATATGAAATCGGGTAATGGAAACTATGCAACACGATCAACGGGATGTTGCGAAACGCTTGTATCTCATCCAGTCCGAAGACCTTCGGTCTCACGTGAAACGAACATCGAGGCATTCTTCCATTATGGTCTTGTAATCGGACGCAGCTGATTACTGTCTGTCCTATCTGATTTCTTGCACAGGTGTACATACATGGACGGTTTCCTTCGTCCGTACGTTTTTTTTTTATTATAGAGACATACAGGGTGAGTCAATAAGAAGTATTAAAATAACTCGTTACCTGTTAGTTGTAACAGAAAACGTTTTAATAAATTGTGCAGCATTTTAAGGGACGCATCGGATGGATACAATTTGATTTTTTTATATCTTTTTTTTTTAGGTATCAAGGTGACCTTGAGTTTTTTCAAGGTCAATGCGTTTCCTTTTAATACCACAATGTTGCCAATAGAAGGACGAATTCAACGACCTATTGCACGATGGTATTGAAAAGAAGACGCAATGACCTGTACACTTTAACGGTGTTTCTATCAAATTACTTTCTTGTTATTAGAATTTCGAAACTAACTAAAAGATGGTATCCAGTCGAATCACTTCCAGGTTTGGTAAGTAATCTCATATAAAAAGCAAAATATCGAAGAAGAACCGCGAACGTTCTCGATTATACACTTTGGTGAAGCATAATATATAGTTAATGTTAATGAAGACAGCTCACAAAAATTTCCACATTCTGTAATTAACAGAATCGATTTCAGAGAATATTCAGAACAATTTTCCGCGTTCTTCTACGCGCGGTTTACGCAGCTAACAATCGGAATTGTCTTCGACCTTCGATCGAAATTTGCATCGCATAAGCGTTGATTAACGTAGGATACGAACCACCAGCAGCAATTATTCTCTCCACGGTGCAACTTTTAAGGTCGTCGTTACACAAACTCCCGTTTTGTTGAAAATAGGACATGAAACGGTTCCCGAAAATAACTGTTTCAAAGTGTTATACTGAATAACTGTTACTGTAAAAGCACTACACGTCTCCAAAGTTGCAAAGTTTTCCATTATTTTTTATATTGATCTTTTTAAAAATCGGTCGTGCAGAGAAAAAACGGTTTGCAGATTGCGTATTCAGCTCATAAACATCTATCAGACACGCCTATTAACGGTTATGAGGTATTTTACGTATTGATCACAGTATTATTTAAAAGAAGTCTCTGAATATGTTGTACTATATACGGAATGTCACAACAAGATGGAACATTACGCAACACGCGTATTCCTCATGCAAATACAAATCGAAAAGTTCTTTACCGTTTTGTAATTTGAAGCTTCATTTCTAAGATATTAGCAATTGAACGAACTCCAATCAGCTGAGCGGTTGGACGCTTCTGTACTGTGTCGGCGCGTACGTCTGGCCGACGGCTCAGCTGATTAGAGTTCGTTTAACTGCTAATATCTCGGAAACCAAGCTTCAGATTACAAAACGGTAAAGGACTTTTCGAAAGAATATGCACGTTGCGGATTGTCCCCTCATTTTGGGACGCCCTGTATATTCTCTTCGACCGAAAATATATGTATCCTGCGGGTCGTTGCACAACCATGTGTCAGATTTATTCGCGTATTATCAGGGCGTTTCGAATAGGTTTTGCAATTACCAGTTGTTGGCTCGTCGAGGAATAATACTGAAGGATTGCTCAAAAGTTCCAGGGCGACGTCGAGCCTCTTCTTTTGCCCGCCTGACAGTTTACCGCATAGAGTGTCGTAGCAGTGACTCAAGCCGAGCAGCTCGAGTAGTTCCAGAACCTGAAGACAAATAAGACACGGTTAGCTTCGAGAGAAAAAAAAAGTATTGGAAATTCCAAAGACTGTCCTGGTAGTGTGAGAAAATACGATAGTACAGTAAATCGTTGATGAGTGTTCGAAGACTCTTCAGCAGTAACAAGAAGAGATGATTTTTTAATGAGGTTCAACACAGGATCGAACTTGGAATTCTAAAGTCAATGATATTTGTTTCTGTAGCGTGTGGCTATTAGTGTATGAAATATTTAATGTTCAGTGCCGATGAGCCTTCGAACACTTATCGAGGATTTACTGTATTCCCATAGCAGCTCACATACGCTTATTTAGCTCAAGCAGACTAACTTGTGTGTGCTTGTAGGCCGAACTGATCGTGTAGCCGAGCTTCAAGTGCGCGGCTACTGTCATCGCTTCGCCAACGGTGATTCTTGTTCTCATCAGCGCATCCTGCTGTATATAGCACGAAGTTCTCTTCCATCTTTCGCTATACGGTACCCGGACCTTTCCGTTCACCAGAATCGTCCCCTGGACACCCTTCACTCTGTAACGTAAATGAATAATCTGAATTATCTTAGCTGATCTATCTGACTCAACTAACTCACATGACTGAATGAAATAAAAATTAAAATTAAACTACCGTCGCCTTAAATACATCTGTACACTACTTATTATGCACTAATTACCACACTAGGGATTTCATACAATTACGGTGGACGCGTTCGCGCAAAACACAATGTGGGTAAAAAATTTCAGCAAGAAAGAAAATATTGATAATCGTTTTAATTACACGTTTATAGGGTAATCAAGCACGTGGTGGTTCAAGATTTTCAATTAACTTTACATGGACACCGCGATTTGCATGAAAAATCCGAAGTGTACAGAGTGTCCCATTTAAATCGACCCACTAGAGTATCCCCGGAACTGTTGACGATATTAAAAATTCTGGCAGACAAAAGTTAAATGGTATCAGGGGGTATACTCTCTGATGTGAGTAACTTTTTCCTATGTCGACGCGTAGAGGTCATATGAAGGTCAACTTTGTTTGTTTAAATGAAATCGTACATTTTTTAATGCACCAATTCCCCAGAAGTGTCTTAGTACTTTATGCAGGGAATAACTAGCAGCATCGAGTAGTATATTCAAAAATATACGATTTTGTTTAAAAAAACAAAGTTGACCTTCATATGACCTCTACGTGGCCAAAGTGTGCTCCCCAATACGGTTTAACTTTTGTCTAAAACATTTTTCAATATCGTCAACAGTTTCGGAGATATTCCAGTGGGTTGATATAAATGGGACACCCTGTATATGAAACTAATTATTGTACGGAAGCGTTAAGTTTACCAATAACATTTAATACGTGTCCGCACACATGGAAATGTATTTAATTCCGCCTTGAAGAAAAAAAACTCATGCATGAAACATAATTGGGTACTTTATAAACAATAATTCAGTGAAAAAAAAAACGATTTAACAAGCTATAAATTATAAAGTAGAGCAAACGTCTGACCGATCATCCGATCACTTTCTTACCTAACGTACAACAGTTCATCGGGTATTTGTTCATTGAATCGGTCACAGGTAAAGATCTGACCTAGTTTTTCTTTTCAAGTCAATTCACCTTTTCGTTATTTAATTACGGTTTATTGCTTAATCACTTTATTTGTTCGCCGTCGGTCGGATAAATTATATCGATTAAAACTGACTTTTCGCGGACGTATATACCGAGCTCATTTTTTCTGTCAATACGGATTATCGTCGCCCTAGTTCCTAAGTGTTTCATCTCCACTAGTCACTAAACCAGGAAAACTAAGTTTAAAGTTCACGAGGTTTAACATTATCGAAGCAGGAAAGTAGTGAAATGATCAATCACACTATAATATCATCTATCGAATAACATTTAACATAATGTTATCTTATTATCAACATAAATTTTTAATTGTCGTTAGTATTTGGAGATACAACCGTTAAGAAAAAAGAATTTTTCGAAGTTTCGGAATAAGGATTTAAAAAAATATTTTTCGTTTTCCAGGTTAAATTTTCTTTGTATTACGATGAATTTGTATTCTTCGGACCAATGAGACGCATTTAGATCGATTGGCTAAATTTTTTCGAAAAAATGGGGTTAGAATCATTAAGAACTCGAGCGAAGTGGTACGTCCACGTGAATTTCCTTCGAACTGATACGACGGCCATGAAAACCAGTTTTCCTGTACGCGAAAGTATTATGCAATTTTATTTTTAGACAAAATTGCATCGAAGGACACTACTCGTGGTGTCTTCGGGGATCATGGTGGAACGGAATTTTCTTTTTTCTCGGCCGAGCGACAGCGTCTCAACGGCGAAAACGGTGCAATTGGACGCTTGTTCAGCGAATTCAGTGGCCGACGGAGTACATTCCAGTGACTAGGAATTAATCAACGCCGCCTGGTCACGTTCGTATTAACGCGAGACACGTTGCATTTATTCGGAACGAAACTGGAAGATCATGTTTCGGAGAAACAAATGATTGGCTGTGTGGCGTTGATTAAATCTGCTTCCATTGTGCTGTTCTTTTTTTTTTTTTGTTCTACTCATCTATTTATTTCATTCACTTGATACGTCGAAAAAATCCTTTTCATGAAAAATATTTCTTTCGACCGTTTGGTTTGTAAGATAAAATATATGGGAGGGAGAAGCCTTGTACTTGGGTTCTTACGTTTGGACTGTTTTGGATTAGAGCCTTTGGGTCTCAGAAATCTTGGACTATTATTCTCAACATAGCGTGCGAATTGAATACTTAAACCGTTCCTTTTTTGTAGCAAAGCATCTTCGGTTTTTTTTTTGCTATAGTTCTTGATAATTACGTTACGGCCGTAAATGTCTTCCACTGCATTTCACGCAGAAATTACGACCGCACAATTTTAATGGCAGGCACGTTCCCGGTCTGACGTGGCAACTGGTTTCCACATAAATCATCGACAGCGTTAGAAATTTCTCGAAATATTCTACGGTCGACTTGTGCATAATTACTGGCGCGAAGAAATTACGCGAAACCCCCGTACCCGCTCGTTGATATACAATTACCATTCCACGCGAATAAATTTCAATTCTAGTTGTAGATATCCAGTATAGTATTGCATACCATAACATAGTATAACTGTACTGTACATTTTTCGTAGACCTTGCTTTAAAAAGAAAAACAAACAGGAATTAAGCACGATCACAACCTATAGTTATGATTCAATTAGATGTTCAATGCTCTTTAAATGGGCTGGGGCTCAATTCGTTGCAGCAGTGCGCGAGCACGAATCCGTTTAAGCCCCTTTGAGTCGAAAACAAAATACCAACGAGTCGGTTAGAGAACTGTTAAATCTAACAACAGAAATATATATATATATATTTACTTATACCTCATTGGTCACACCAATATTTAATTATACAATTACTTCTGTACTCCAGTTCCGCTTTGCATTTATCGCTTATCCTAATTTTACTGTTAATTTTTATTCTAATATCCTCTACATAATTCTATTCTTCCCACAATACTTACCTACTGGAACGAAAATGTACCTATGGCGGGTAGGGTTCACGGGTACCCAAGGGCACTGACCCACTTTTCAGCAGTGGAGAAAGGTCGACGGTACAATACGAGGGGGAACGATTATACCAGTGCGTTGCATCGGTCCCAGCGTGTGTTATACACGCTCGCCGTCATACATATGAATAAATAGAGTTCGCCCAGCGAGTTTTTTTTTATGGTAACCGTGCCACGAACGGATCGAACGTGACGGATCGACTCGGTTCATTCGCACTACTGTATTTTCTTTAATAATGACTGTTACACGAAAGAAATGTTTTTTTCGAAAAATGTGGACCGACTTCGAAATACGTTAAAAAGTAGAAAATAAGGTCTATATTTATTATTTATAGAAAAATGCAACAAAAGTGACTCAATTGACTTATTACGTTAATATACTCCGGTCAGTCAATATATTAGAATTAAATTGCTTAACAACTGACTCATCAAGATTGAATCAGAGGGTTACGTGTAACAATTTCAAAGTACAGCGAGTCGATTAATTTATTAAGACTGTTTAGAATAAAATAATACTAGATTGAGAGAATTCAGTGACTCAACGAAATTATGAAATCTTCGATCGCGAATTGCATACTACTTAAACCTACAATGTGTACTTTAAGTGAATTCCGTGAATACACTTCGCGATAGGCTCGATCGTTATGTCTATTTTCGAATACTTACGTGTAACCGGCCAAAACGTTCAACAAAGTCGACTTCCCAGCGCCCGAGGGGCCCATAATGGCGATCAGCTCGCCGGCTTTAAATTCCCCGCTGACGCCATGGAGGATCTCTTTGTATTCTGCGAGCAAAGAAGAGGGAAAAAAAAAACGATAATAAACCACGATCTGTAAAATTAACGAACGTTCCGCGCTGTTTTTGCTTATATCTGTTCCATTAATTTTACTCGATTCAGGCGATTTGAATAATCGAATGATCAGGTTGTAAAAGTCGAGAAAAAACATATATTTCTGGACATAAAGTTACGTAAGATAAAGTAGCATCGGGTTTGAAACCGTGGAGGACGTTTGTTGTAAATCACTTCGAATATTAAAATACGAATATTGTATGCAAAACCAACAATTCCATAACCGTTTCTGAAGTGATCTTAAAATTTTTCAGAATATTCCAATATATCCACCCGAGAATATATGCTCTTCCTGGTTTTATTCCAGAGAAACAGAAGCGGCACGTGCTTGGAGGGTCCGCTGCGTCTCCACGCGAGAACTACTATCGAGGTAACTGGCTCTTAAGCTTTCTATCCACTTGAAAATGACCATCTATAAATTTTACTCTCGAGAAAACGGATGGTAATTATTGCTATAAATAATGTTACATATCCACAGGGGAACAAGAACCAAGGGTAGTTCTTAAGCATCTATCCACTTGTAAATAGCCTAAAGAAAATTTTACTTTCGAGAGATGAACGGACAATTATTGTATAACAATCCTATGTATATCCAGGTGAGGTGGTGACTCTTAAGCTTGTATCTACTTGTGCAGATACCCTCGCAAATGTTACTCCAGAGAAACTTTCGAGTCAACATTACATAATGTACCGAAATATCTATGTTACATTCACGTCCGTTATCATGTTCGTTGATGTTCACGAGCATAAAGAATGTCAAATGAACACATACTGACTAAAAACGCTGAAGTTTCAATTGCCAGTTACGACTGTTATTTCTCGACCTCTTGCCACGAAACGAAGCTGTTTTCATTTTACGCGTGTGATTTTATATAATTGACATTGGGAGGCTATTACCTCGACCATAAAGTAATATAACGGAATAAAGATAACAATTCCATTCGCCGATCACGGGCAAAGTGGCGACAAGATTAATCTGCATTCGATGATGTCATTCCGTAGATGCCCGCAGAAAAAAAACCACACATTTCACGTGACCTCTTGTAATAGTGTGTAACGACTAGCAAAGGCGCAGAAAGATGCGCGTTAGTCATCGATCGATCGCGATCATTTAAGCTTCTTCTAGATTAACATTGCGACACACTGTTGCCGGATTTTTTTAACCTTTCTAGCAACCTTGTACGTTCAATTAAATAGTACCGTACAGAACACACTCGAATACCAAATCGACCAATTCGACGGAAGGGAATAACGTTGACAGTAATGTGTATCGCAGTCTTTAATTAAATACACGACGTTCTCAATTATTCTGTCATCCGTCGACGTCCACTGAATCGATTTTTTTTTTTTTATTCCACCACTTTTTCCGATCGGTACAACTAGTTTTCAGAATACACTCTGCGACTAATTTATAGCACCTCGATATCTACATGTTCGGTATAATTAAGGAATATTTGGATCAAAACACTGCATTTCGAACACTTTTCTGTCATCGCGATATCACGGAATACGGTGTTCCCTCCTATACAGTAAAATCATCGATGAGTGTACGAAGGCTCGTCGTTATTGACAAGGAGAGGTCCCTAGATGTAATCGGTAGAAAAAAATCTTTCGAATGAAAGTTTAACGGTGCAATAAGCACTATAAACTAGCGTCAACAAAATTTTGAAATACTTTTTCCCAAATTTTTTTAACGCAAGCTTATAGTGCTCATTGCACCGTTATACTTGAAATATTTAACAATCAGTGCTTTCGAGGAGCCTTCGAACATTCATGGATGATTTACTGGACCAGACACGCGGAATTATCAACATACTATGTTTTCGAATATCGAGGCCACCGTGGCCACTGAGCTCCACGAACAGTACAGGATCGGACAATTTCAGGATCGAAAATTTAGAGATCCCCCTCGAGAATGCAAACCAGTTACCCCTCCCCTTCGGAACCGCCGTTCCGATGGGATCATAAAAATGGCCCCTTTCGACTTCTACGCGATCGGGAAGGACACTCAAGGATAACCTGTGCGAATTGCATCGTGGAACACTCACAATTTTCTTGTTTACTCTCTCGATTAAAGATTAGTGACGAAACGCCGGGATCTCGTTATCGTTGAACACGTCGACAGAATTTTTCATCTGCGAGCCCTCGTGCCGTTACGCGATAACACGGTTTTTCTTTAACTTGATCGTTCTTATTGACCGCGTAATTATGTAACTCGTGTCAGTAGAATTTAATAGATAAGCTGAAATTGCAGCTGTATTTTGTAGAACATATTTAACCAAACAACGATAACGATGAAAGTAATTGGCGATGACGATCGACAGATATTAACTCTTGAACCGTAAAAGCTAAGTGGTGCACGTTACGAACACTGGCTGGATCCAAAGAAATAGAAAACCTTGACTTCTTCCGACACTGATGAAAGTAATTCTTTTTCTGAAATAGACGTATCAAAGTAACCTGCGTCACTGAAAGTTTCCCCCAAATATTTCGTTAATTGAATTCGGGATTGGGACGAAGCAAAGCTTTTTATTTTTGTTTAAATTAATATTTCCTATATTTTCTATACGAAAGATATATAATGAATTTATTAAAAACTGTTTATATGTACGGAATTTGTAAAATTGTAGCAGAAAAAAAATTAAAATATTGCCTACATCATGCAATACAGTAAATCATCGATGAGTGTTCGATGGCATGTTGTATAATATTTTTCTTTCTTTCGTTTATCAGGAGTTGTTATGAACCAGCGGTGAGCAAACCTTGAGTAAGGGTCTAAAAGTTACAGTGTAGACTTCGCTTTAGAGGACAGTAATCGAGAAGGAAAAAGTCGTTCTATATTTCCACTAATTTTCCCCGTCAAGATTCGCCTCATTCTCGGTTCTACCACGATTTTTCGATATTTATTCCGATCGATCATCGGCGTAACTGTAAAGATACTAAAGACTCGAACGGTGACTGGTCATTGACATTTCGCCTAAATAACAAAACGGGCAACATTACAGAGCAGATATAAATTCACGGCTTTTCAGAGAGACTTCACCGACAAGCCTACAAATCCTTTATTTACGCGACACGTGCGTTACGAAACAACCGCCGGAAAGACCGACTTCACCTTGAAAGGATAGAAGTTGAAACATTTTCGCTTAATTCGCTGATAAATTATAGTTTTTTTCCTTTCTCATAAGCAACATTACGTCACCGTACCGTGAGGTTTCCTTGCGAAACGCCGCGCGGTAAACAAAAAGCATTAATACATGTACAGAAACGATTTCGGTTTTTTGACCCTTAAGGACACGGGGCTCCGTCAACTACGCCATTTCCTTTTTTTTTTTTTCGTTATTTTAGAAGTCGGCAGCAGAGTTTTTAGGATTTATTTTTTAATTTAATACTTTTGTGTTTTTAATGGTAGATAATTACGATGGAGGAAAAACGTTTTTATATTTATTGTTCAGTGCCAACAAGCCTTCAAACACTCATCCAGAATTTACTGCTTATAATAATTCCCGTTATAATATTGTTATACAAAATAAAACCCCATTTTTATTACATTATGCTATCTATAGAAAACTAGAAGAAACTATTATACACCATCATACTAACATTTTAATTTTGTTTTTCTATCATAAAAGTCAGCAAAACTTGGCGTGTGACAGTGGTGTGTGCATTCTCGAAACTGGGTATCGTTCCCACGGGTTTGTTCGCCGAATTTACGGAAGAGAACGTTGTCCGATATGTAAACGAAGAGGATGTTATCAAGGGTCGCGAACGAAATGACAGCCCGGTCGCGATAAAGGCCCCGGTTTTCGTGTGATTCGCGTGTCCATGCGAATATCGCCCAGAAATGGAAGAGGACGTTACAGGGTGATTCAAAAAAGGTTCTGTAAGTTCTAGAGTATACGTATAGTATGTACTCGTCGAATAATGAAAAAATGTCTTAACAAACATGGGGTGAAAAAATTGATATTTTTAAAGTTACTGAAAAACTAATGCAAGTCATAAAGAAACTGCTATTTTGTGTGTGTTTTGGCGAGTATACTCGTCATAAAAAAATGGCAATTCTTTGTGTATTTGATGGGTGTAATTTCACGACCCATGTTTATTAGAACGGTTTTTTTCATAATTCAACGAGTACATTATTTACCCTTGAAGTTACAAATCCGCCTTTTTTTTATCACCCTGTACAGTTTCGCAATCCTGTCTGGGCGCTCGAAATTTCGTTCTAGTTGATTTTTCATGTGTATGTCAGCCGGAGAAGCGGGAATATGGATTTAATGCATTTCCAACATTTATCGATCTGTTTATCGTATTGAATCGTCAGCAGCAAGAACAGTCCAGGCCTTGTGCACGTGTGCTGGATGCACGAGGAGGACAAGAGTCGAAGATTAACAGCCTCGTTAAATGCCACTTTAAATGTTTTTGCTTGCTTTAATTTTGTTGATCGGTCGTATGCATAGCAAAGAGTCAACGGAGTTGCTCGAATTAAAACTAAGAATTATTCATCGAGAATTTCGTAGTATAAAAAAAAAAAAAAAAAAAAAAAAAAAAAAAAAAAAGTAGTTCGTTATTTTTAATTGTTTAAACGTGGTAAATATATTCCAGGTAGTGAAATAAATGTTAAATCGAATGTTAATTTGATATATATTTCAATAATTCCCGAAACCAAATGGTAGAAGGTCCTTCACCTACGTCACTTTTTCCCCCCTAGTGGAAGCCGAGTTTGCTCGTAGCTGTACATGGTTTAAAATACATAAAGGTGCCTAATTGTTATGGTCACCTCTTCGTTTCACAAAAAATATTGTAAATGTAAAAAGTTGATACATGCTATTATGTTAATCACAGAAAAGTGCAAAACTGTTCTCTCTTTCATTTTTCAGAAAAGAAAAAAACCGAGAAAAATTAGGTTAGGTATATCAATATGGCGGACGAATTGC